TCTACAAATACAGCACAGCCAATATTTGATTGAATCATCTCTTGAACGGACTCAACTACTGCATTAGCAACAGCAGCCTTAGCTAATCTTTCTTTATCATCGAGTGATTTTTTTAATTCTTTCAACATTCCACGCATTTTATCCTATATTGAAAATAAAAAACATAAATAATTGAAAATTTATAAAAATCAATTATAAAGTCATACAATTAAATATACCTTCTTCCAACTAGGAATTGTAGCATGAGATACGTCTTCATTTAGTTCTACTATTTGTTTAACATACTCTTTAGAATGTATACTACTTTTATCAGTGTCAATAGTATTTTTCAACTGATTTAATTTATCTTCTAATAGAGCTGCTTTTTTAAGTGCTTTTTTTGCTTCAGGCCCAGTTAGAGCAACTATACGTCTTATACCTTTAGCAATAGCTTCTTCGCTGCTTATGACAAAATCACCAATGTGTTCTGTATTATGTAAATGTCTGGAATATAAAAATAACTAAAAAATATATATTTTTATTAAACATATTGGTTAATAAAAAGATATATTCTTACGTTCCACCACAAAATTCTACACTGGTCTTTAACGCAGCATCATTTAAAGGATCTTTTTCCAAATCTTCTATTGGTATACCAACACTAACTATTCTAACAGGATCAGGATAAGTTTCTTCGAACATAGCACGTAATCCTTTGATAGTTTTAGCTAATGCCAGATTACTTTCTTTAGCAAAGATATTTTTTTTCTGTTTTATTATATCATTCGTAATTTTCTCTGTTTTTTTCACTTGATCCGTAGTCATAGCTCCTGTAACATAAAAATATAATTAATAGAAATTTTAAATATATAGTTTGATAAAAAAAATAGTACTTTTAATAAACCTTTATTAGTGAAGTCGAAACGTAATTTGTCAGGTGCAACTAAAGATCCTTTTTGATCGGCTTCTAAACCCAAAACTTGCCGAAGTGCATGGTTAAGAACATGTGTTGCTGTATGATTACTCATTATTAGACGTCTACGAGTAGTGTCAACGTTTAGATGAACCTTATCACCCTTCTTCAGCACTCCTTCTCCAACTGTACCAATATGTAATACATAACCACCTCTAACTTGCACATTCGTAATTCGTATTTCAGTTTCCTAAAATGTTAAATAAAAATTAGAATATTTGTACAATATATTTGATTGTATAGAATGTTATTAAATATTTAGTGTTTTAAAATAATATATATTTACTTCATCATCAACTTTAACTAAAAATCCTTCGTCATATATTTGTCCACCCTGTTCTGCATAAAAATTTGTCTTATCTAACAATATTCCAACTTCTTGTCCAGAATATACTTCTTCAACGAAAGTTTTCGCGTGTCTTAAAGCAATGACAGTACTAGTGCATGATTGAAACGAATATTCATCATACGGATCTTTGCCTTTTACATTGTAATTATATTTTGGTAAGTCATTGGTCATTGGTATTCCTGTATTTTGCAATTCTGTGATTGCATGAACGTCCAAATTAATTTGATCATCTACTCCTCCAACTTTACTTTGAGAGATAAGCTAAAATAAATGATATAATAAAAATAATAATTCTTATCATTAAAAATATAAATAACACAAATATTACAATCATTTTAATACCTGCGCTTGTTTCTTTGCTTCCTCATAAGCAACCATATCAACTTTTAAACCTTTCTCTTCAGTCATAAGTTGTGTTAAATCAACTGGGAAACCATATGTATCATACAGACGCCATGCAACATTTCCTGGAACAATCTTAGAAGATTCGAGTTTTGATATAGTTCGATTTAATAAATTTCTTCCACGTGATAATGTTTTTAAAAATTGAGTTTCTTCTTCATTTATTATATCAATTATACTTTGAGGATCTTTTTTTACTTCTGGGAATACATCACCTAGAAAAATAAATAATAGAATAAGATAAATAGAAATATAGATAAAATATATAAATAAATTAAAATAGAATAAGATAAACAGAAAAATAATAAATCTTATAAAATTGATACTTACCAAGTAACTCTACAACAACGTTTACCAAAGATGCAAAGAAACCAGGTTTTGCATTTAATTTCTCAGTGGCATAACGTACGGCACGTCGCAAAATTCTTCTTAAAACATAACCTAAAGCAAAAAGAATTAATTATTAAAATAACATAATTTAATGTAAATGAAATATTTATACCAATATGTAATTTAACCTCTTCCAGTATTATCAGGCATTCCTCCATCCGCAAGAGCAATAGTTATTGTTCTTGCATGATCTGCCAAAACTCTATATGCCATATCAATTCCATCTTTATCAGCATTTCCTACTCTTCCTTGATAAGGCGATACTCCGGTACCTTTTTGAATAGCTTCAAAAAGAGGCATAAATAAGTCAGTGTCATAATTAGCTCTTTTATTTTGAATAACTGATACTAAACGTTCTAATCCTAAACCACAATCAATATGTTTTTTCGGTAGTGGTTTTAAAATACCATCTGATTCTCTGTAAATTCAATTTGTATTGTTCAATATCATAGAAAGTATTATGAATATGCAAGTATCTGTTATATTCATATTACCGATTATATTGAATAAATACAAGATTCCAAACTTCTAAAACATCTGGATCATCCATATTTACTAAATGAGCAGCTTCCCTATTACCAATTCTATCATAATGTATTTCACTGCATGGTCCACAAGGACCAGTTTCTCCCATTTCCCAAAAATTATCCTTCATGTTTCCTGGTAAAACATGTGAAGCTGGTACCCTATACAAAAAGTGAAATGGATTATAATACGTGCATTTGAATAAATATATCTGGATGTTTTAACCATAAAGTAAATATTACTTATAATATCTTTAATTACCCAAGAGAAAGCCATATGTCTTTGCATTCGTTATCAGGATCTAATCCAGATTTTTCGTCTCCTCCAAAATATGTAATGTATAATCTATCAGATGATAATTTTAAATTAACTGTTAAATACTCCCAAGCCCATGAACAAATTTCTTTCTGAAACATTTTGTTATTTTATTAAAAATAAGTCTTATGAGCATAATTAGCATACGAAGACATACCTTAAAATAATCACCAAACGACCAGTTACCCATCATTTCAAAGAAAGTATGATGATATACATCTTTTCCAACGTCGTCTAAATCATTATGTTTACCTCCGGCTCTTATACACTTTTGAGAATTAACAACTCTTACCCATTTTGCCATATCACTATTAGGATCCACCGTACCAAGAAATATTGGTTTGAACTACAATAAATCATATATGATAATTATACATAATGTACCCAAACAATTTATTTTTATTTAGATTATATATTAGAGAAACAGAATATTATACTTGATTCATTCCAGCATTGGTAAAAAGTAAAGTTGGATCATCGTGAGGTATTGTTGAACTTGAATGAACATATTCGTGCCCTTTACTTTTAAAAAAGTCAATGTACGATTGACGAATTTCCTTAGCTGTCATTGACTGACTCATTTTTATCTTTGTCCCTTTTTTGGCCCTTGTAGAGTAACACTAATCTATAATTAGTATTTATTTATAAATTTAACACCATATGGAAATGGATTACATCAGCTGTTTTAGCACAAATTAAAAAAATATATTATCATCTACGAGAAAAAAAAATATTTCTCAAACAAGATTATTTTATAACACGTACCGTAACTTTTTGTATTTAAATCAAAATTATTAATTAATGATAATTGATGATATTTGAAACGCAAATGTTATAAACCGTGTAGCCGACACATGTGAATGTTACTGATTGAAAGTATTGTGAGGAGAAAGGTAAGCAAACACGTGTATGCAATTTACCCCTCCACTGCTGATAACCTCCAATTAAAAAGAAACTTTTTAAAAATTTTTTCACTGTAGTTTTACAATATTTGCAATATTGATTGTAATAGTAAGTGAAAAAAAAACATAAATAATTGTAGATAAATTCTACAATTAATATTTATAATTAATTATAAATTCGTTTAGATTAGTCGTCAATTCTCATATTAAAATTCCGCCATTGCTCTTGTAGTTCATATATGTCCTGCAACTATCGCTGAAGTTGCACACGCACTTTAAACGAAACATGGTGAATAACCTTTACGCGTGAAAAGTTAATTAAAATCTATCAAAATGCCGTTTATGATAGGTGCAGCACCTATACGTAGAACACTCAAGTATCTACAAGCAGGAAAATTAGTTTTTAAGGATAAAATACAAATATTTGCAATTAATTATAATACTAATGGAAAGCATCATCTAGGGGCCAGGTAAAATTTTGGTTATATATTTGGATATTATCAAAGTACCATTTTTAGAGATGTTATATTTTTGCAATGATTTTATGTTTTAGGGATTTCATATTTTGGTACTTACCACAAATACAATACAAAAATCCGGATGTACAGATTGTTACATTTAAAAACATGACACCGTCTCCTTTTATTAAATGTTATTATGGTATGTAATTTTCAAAATTATTTGAACTACACGGTAATATTGTATTACAGTATTAGTATTAGTATTAGATTATATATGTTGTAAAAAATATATAATAAATATTATTGTTCTTTGACAGAAAATGGAAAAACAATGTTAATAGATATAGATAGTCAATCAAAAGAAGATATTATTCAACATCTTATTAAAGTTGTTGGTAAATCGGAGAAACTTTTAGAGAAAGAGACTATACTCAAAGAAAAGAAGGATAATCCTGCTAATTTCGGTGTTGGTTGTAAAGTTGGTTGTATATGTGAAATTCCTGGGCAAGTACCTTGTCCTGGTGTAGTACCTCTTCCTTATCATATGCGTGGAAAAACACGTATGAAAAAAGATTTGTAATATAGATTTTTTTAAATATAAAATTAATGGTATGTCTAAGTAAATAATAGATATACTTTCATATAATTTAAAAATCCTGTTGTAAAATTTATTATATGTTTTTGTTTATTATAAAAAGATTTGATACAATATATTATGAAAATACAAGTACGTCATGTACATACATATTAAGCATAGCATTATCAATGAATTAAAATAGTTACATTTGTGGTGCTTTACATTTGCCTGCACCGTATAGGAATCATTTACACGCACACACACATGCACACACAAGAGAAAAATCAGTAATTTTATGCTTTTTCTATGCTTTTATAAATAGAAATGATATAAATATAGATGACGATAATAAAATGAAAAGAATTCCATACTGTATTTTTCTCCATATGATCATTCAAAATGTGTCATTTATGAAAAATGTATATAGACAGTTTGAGTTATCTTCTCGGCTTATAACGATTATATGGCTTATTATTGTGATGATGGTTTCCGCGATTATGATGGCGCGTAGATGTGGACGGTTTTTGGTTTTCTGTTCTCTGATATAAATGTATGATAGGAGATCCATCCAAAGGTTTGTTTAATTCAAATTCTTCTTCCGATTCTTTCATTAATTTTAGCTTTGCTTCTATTGCTTGTATAGCTGTCTCACGACTATGGAGATTAGATTACAATTAGTATCCATATTAGAAATATATATTGAAATTAAGAACCTACCTTATTTTTTTATCTTCTTTCTTTGCGCCTGCTAAAGCAGGTATATCTATTTTTGGCTTTGGTTTTTCTATGTCAGGCTACAAATAAATTAATATAGAATATATCATTTCTATTAAATTATATACAATTATATTTGTACAGTTTCTTCACTTACCTCTGTGACACTATGAGCCCACCTTACTACTATATTTTTAGCACCTACTTTTAAATTATGCAAAGCGTCTTTAGCTGCTTCTGCATCTTCTATCTTTTTGTAAGTAACAAATGCATAACCTCTTGGTTGACCAGCTTGTGGACCTGACCGGTGAAATAGCAGGTCGAACTTTTCAATTGTTCCATGTTTTTGGACGAGTTTCAGGAGTTGGTACCAGTTGACAAATAAACAGTTAGTTTTTCAAATAGTTTAATAAACAACAAATGGGTCATTGCTTAATATGATATTTTTTGTTGATCTATTAATATATCACATACAAATTGAGAAAACGAATGACTCATTTGAAGAAATCTAATATAATCATGCAAATACTTACTCATTAATCCTAAGATCTAAGTTGCCCACCCATAGTCTTCTATCTTCTACCTGATTTGATTTAATAGGTTCTAATGGCAAAGGAACTTTAGCACCTGACTGTAACTCATAATCAAAATTAACCAACGATTTTGTGATTATCATAAGAAATAATATTTAATATTTATTAATTCTTTATAAGTAATCTTAAGGAAATATATCAAATGTATCCGCGATTAAATTTCTAGAAACTTACCTCCATACCAATGGGAGAGATAAATAAGCTTTATCACATTAATAACAAGAAACCCTAGCTAGTCTGTACTGATTCCAATATAAATCTGTAAATAAAATCAAGTAGCAGATTTTTCTATTATTTTTAAGAAGCCATACAGATATAAGTAATAGGTTATAATGTACACTTCAGTGAAGAACTATTTTAGAAAGAAAAAATATATGAAAAGAATTCCATTATTTTTATTACCTGAGGAAACTTTTACAATTAAGTGCGTCATTTTTTGAGATTTCTCAACGAGGTTAACATAATACATAATATCAATGAATTATATATAAGAACCGAAAACCAAACGTATAGCGTAAGTGACGTTCACAATGAGATTGTGTGCAACTAATTGCTATCTATCTATATACGGATATGAAGCTTGATTCCAGTAACAATGTTTTGCAAAGGCTTAGTGTGTGTTTTATGCGTATATTTACATGGCGCGGCGTCCATAGTATAATCACTGACAAGATGCGCCATCTGGAGTGTTATCAGATGATTGTTGCTTCAAAAAGAAACATTGCGAATAAAAATATATGTTAGTCGGAGTAATATATCCAATGTTTTATATTACAATTGATTTCTCCTATTTCTTACTACATTATTTTTATTCATAGTTACAAATTAAAATACTGACGACTATAAAGTTAAAAGTTACGTATAATTCGAGTGTAGTTACATTACATATAATTATTTAAACATAGCGTCATTCTTATGTATGCTTTATTAGAGATAAACACACGATAGTAAATAACTTCTTAGTGCGTTTATATCGTTTTCATCACATTCTACATTTTGAAGAGTAATCAGGTGACATGGAAAGAACAACTTTACCCGAACAATCGGCATCTCAAACGGAAACTGTCTTGGAGGGGGATAACACCGATTCTGGATCACAGGTATTGTTAGTTTATACGTCATTTAACTGATAATGCCGGTTACTTGTTATTCTGTAAGAAATAACAAATCTAACGTTTTTATACTATTAAAAAATCGATTGTAATCGTTATTGATCAAGACTTTTACTTGTCAACGAATTTTCGAATTTTTATATGCGAATGTCGTTATTTATATTTACAATAGTGAATTTGACCTATATTATTGTTTTTCTCCATTCCGAGTTATATTTGTGAGTAAAACAAAACATGTGTATTCTGTTTGGTTCTACTGTATTACACTCCACTGTAAAAACAAGATTTTTACCATTTTTATACAACATAAAAAAATGTAAGAATTTTTCTACTATCCCAGAGAATGATAGTTCTCCACTATCTGGGATTCGAATATTGGATCTCACACGTATAGTAGCTGGTCCATACTGTACTATGATCCTTGGAGATCTTGGAGCAGAAGTTATCAAAATTGAGAAGCCTGGTAATGGCGATGAAGCACGTAAATGGGGACCACCGTTTTTTAAAGGAACCCAAGAATCTACTTATTTTACTAGCGTTAATAGAAATAAGAAAAGTATATGCATCGATTTGAAGAAAGGAAGAGATATTATCTACGAATTGGCTAAGAAGTCTGATGTATTCGTAGAAAATTATATTCCAGGAAAGTTAGCAAAAATGAGTTTAGGATATACAGATATTAAAAAGGTAGCACCTCATCTTATTTATTGTTCCTTGACTGGTTATGGCTCAGAAGGTCCTTATGCTTCTCGACCAGGTTACGATGTCATTGCTAGTTCTATTGGTGGCCTTTTACATATCACAGGTGCTAAAGATGGGCCTCCGTGTAAAGTTGGTGTAGCTATGACCGATATGGCCACAGGTCTTTATGCACATGGTGCTATCATGGCAGCATTACTTCAAAGATTTAAAACTAAAGAAGGGCAATGGATTCAGTGTAATCTTTTATCTACTCAAATTGCTAGTTTAATAAATATCGGCTCAAATTACTTGAATGCTGGCCAAGAAGCAACGAGATGGGGTTCCGAGCATGAAAGTATTGTGCCTTATGAAGCTTTTCCAACTAAAGATGGATATTTAACAGTTGGCACAGGAAGTGATGCTCAATTCACTGAACTAATTCAAAAGATGCAGTTAGAATTAGATAGCAATAAATTTAAGAATAATATAAGTAGAGTGCACAACAGAAAAGAATTATTGAATATACTTAGAAATGAATTTAAAAAGAGAACAAATAAAGAATGGATGATGATATTTGAGGGATCCACATTTCCATATGGACCCGTTAATACTATAGGACAGGTAAATTTTTGTTCGGAATTCCAGGAGTTACATTTGTCAAGAAATATTGGAAGAAACTATCCAAAAATATTCTATAATAGGTTTCTATGTGTATTACATTATTTTTTAGGTTTTTGAAGACAATCATGTAAAACACATAGGATTGGTTAAAGAAATGGAACATTCTATTATAGGAAAAATACGAGTTGTTGGACCACCAGTAACATATAGTTATGCTAATAATAGTGTCAGACTTCCACCTCCAATATTAGGGCAACATACAAGTGAAATCTTAAAAGACATATTAAAATATTCTGATGATGAAATAAAAAATTTAACATCACAGAAAATTATACAGTGACTAAATTAAAGTATTATTGTTATTTATATTTTAATGATTATATATCCATTATTTTACAATATATATGTACAATATATACAATAATATATGATATTTTTATTTACGTAATAATTTTACAATTAAACAATATATTGTGTATTGTATAATAAAACTTATTTACATCAAGTTTATTTATCATTTCTTACAATTTTGGATAATATCCTTATAATCATATCTTATTAATGCAATCAATTTGTATTGTTTAGGATGTTCCAACTGTACATTTGCGGCTCAGAAAACCACGATCAAATAAAAAAGTACAATGGACTCAGGAAACTGTGGATAACGAGCATATGAATAAAAAGAAATCGAAGTGTAAGTTTATTCCAATGAATTATTATTCAGAAAATTATTCAAAATTAAATATATATTCAGTTTTTGACATTATGTTTAGGTTGTTGTATTTATAAAAAACCTAAAAGTTTTGGCGAAAGTAGTTCTGATGACAGTGATGACGAATGCGAACATTGCCATGGTCATAAGGATAATCATGAGAAGCCTCTACCAAATAACGCAGAACCGTCCGAATGTATGTGACTATACTATAGTAAATTATTAAATTAAATCATTTTATAGAAACAAATATTCAAGGAAAAATATTTTTCTATTTTTTTTAGAATGAATAGAAGCAAAATTAATAAATATATATATATTATAATTTTCTCGTAATAACAATTTCCCACTGTGAGAATAGGGTGTCCATGATGTCTTCCACATCAGTGTTACATAGGTTTTATCTGAGGAAAGTATAAGCATCCCAGGTTGGTTAATTAACTCTCTTAGTTCTTATTGCATTGTGACATTTAAATTGTGCATCTTATTGTTTGTATATATATTCAAATATATATATTTGAAAATAATATATATAATTTAATGAGCTTAATATTACAGGCACTGCAATCACCAACTATTATAAATATCATAAATTAAAGTCTTATTATAATGCGAAATATACAGTATTATGCACAGATGTTGTAAAGAAAGCTGCAAATACAGATTGCAGCATTATGTTGATGTTTTATGAAACGTGAGTGTATAATTTTATATTTGCTTTTTTAAAAGGAAGGACGATATAATATTAATATATTACATCTTAAACTGTTCAATTTTTTAATATTCTATAGAATTTCAAAATTCTTAAAACAATAAACTATTTAATGAATTTAATTTTTTTAAATACATATTTTTTAAACAATTTTATAACAATTTAATTAAGATATACGTATCTCTAATTATTTTCATTTAATTACTATAAATAATAGAGGTCCGTCATGGTTTTTTTATTATAATTGAAATTAATATTACTGATTTAAAAATCTCTCAAAGAATTTTATTTTTATTTAGTTATGGAAAATTTAAATTCTTGTATGGGTAGTTCATTAAAAATTTAGAAACATTTTATTTAAAATTAGATTTTATTGAAAAAATGTTCATAAATTTCGAATCAATATAATGAAATTTGATTTTCTAAACTTATCTTTCTTATTACATGGCCCAATAATATAAATATTGTGGGATGATTAGAATAGTAATATTATTTATATTATTTTTGATGTTAATTATTCACGATACGTTACTTTGCACTTAATTATATTTTGATGACAGGTACGTGACATGCTTAAGACTATATTCTTATTACTTGTTACATTATATTTTGTTTTAAGCACTGTATTCCGAAATATATCTTTCTACATCATTTTGAAAAAGTATTTTATACATAAATATGCTTTTTATCATTGAATAGAATAGATTTAGCAATTATATTTATTGTCTTTAATAAAGAATGATAATTAACTAATTATCCTTTATATCTTAATTAGTATTATAATGTATATCTAATTATTTAAGATATAATGATTATATGTACATACATAGAAATGAGCATACTAAACAGAAAAAATCAAACATGTCACGTAAAAAAATGGTCAAAGTTTACTAATAATTTTAATAATTCACGAATTTTTTAATAAACTGTCGAAAGAAATGTAACATAAATTTGTTATTTTAACCTTAAAGAATTAAAATATATTTATATGTGTGAGTATATATCGTACAATACAACATAGTAGCTTAATATTTGAATTGATTATTAAAAAGTTTATAAATATTGTTCAAGTAATGATAAAAATGTTTATCTGATAGAGAAAAAGTATATTCACTGATAAATTCGACGATGTATTTCAAGAAACTTTCACAATAGCTCACCATAGTTATTTATATATGTCATTCTTTATATAGAAATTTGAATATACTTTAAGAAGACAAGCATGTGCCAATACATTTATTTATATCCTAATTGAGCAAATAAAATAACATTTAATCATGTTGGTTCATTTAGTCATTATATAACAACAAATAGATTGTCAGTAAAAACATAAAGTAATTTAAAAGAAGATATTAACAGGAATATTAAACATTTAGTAAAAGTGTTAATTTTATATAATTATACAGTTGTATCATACTCAAAATTATACACACGCATACGCATATATGTATATTTATATATATATATGATTACATATATATATATATATATATATAATCTCTCATTTGCATTCACATTATGCATAAATGTGCTTTGTCATGTTTATATTAAAATTAATTCCACAGACAAGTGTTATAACCCAGTATAACAGGCTGAGAGATGATTCTTTAATCATAAGTTTTTAAATAGGAAATTTAATAGTCTTTAGTCAGTCAACATTACAACCGGGTTTATGATAACTGCTCTTCTTTCTTACTTCCATTCCTCGATTGAGAGAATGCTCATTTAAACCTAAGGATTTGACCATGGCTCGACTGCGCCATATCTTGACTGTATAATCATCGCTAGTTGTAACTAACATTTCGGGATCTTTTGGATTGAAAGCTACAGAATTGACAACGTCAGAATGAGGAAATTTAGTTAAACAAACTCCATAATGTCTATCCCAAAGATAACCATGTTTATCTTCAGCACCACTATAAACAAAAATATATTACATTGATAATTAAATTTAAATTAAAGTATTGATTTTTAAAAAACTGGATTCAAGAACAAGTAACATTTGTATTCACCTTGCCACATATTCGTTGCATACATCCAAAAATATAAAGAAACATTCATTATTTGGAGTATATGCCTTATGTGCCCTTAACATTGTTCCAACTTGTTTCAATGTTACTAGATCAATTACGTGAATATCTATTTCTTGAGCTATAGGTGGAGGTTGTAGCGGATTAGTAATAACATATCCTCTTGGCCAAGGCCTTGTATTGACATATAAATATCTGTAAAATTATTATTGTGTTCTTTTTATATTTTTTCTACTTACGCTATGCATGAGATTTTATTGAGTTAGTATTTCTGTTAGCATACATAAATCGTGAAATCAACGATACCTATGATCCGGAGAAAGACCCATTCCTATTATATGACCATGTAAATCAATCAAATGATCAACTTTGTCAAATCTGTCAGCCACCGCTTCATAATCCAACCAGTTAGTAATCAAGTTTTGTCCAGAGTTTTGTCTTTTTCGTTCCCTTTCTCGTTGCGCTATTCTCTCACGAAGTGATGGTCCTGGATCTAATCTTTTTGGAAAACTAACTAATTTGATCCTCTTAAAACCAACTTGATGAGGCGTGTATGTTTTTGATCCAGTTGTAAATATTAAAAATTTTTCTGGATTATTAGACAATTCATCAGAATCACTTTCTTCTGCCATAGATGATTCTGTTGATCAAAAATTATAGATTCAATAAGAAAATAATTATTCACAAACATTTAATATATGTATGTATGTATATTTTTTGTACTTTAAATTGATTATTTACCTGAATCACTCTCTTCAGTTGATGTATGTTGACTTTCATTTTCATTTTCACTTTCATTTCCTCCTTCATTTTCTCTTTCATTTTCCTTTTCTTTTTCATTTTCATTTTTATTTTTAGTTTCATTTTCATTTTCATTTTCATTTTCATTTTCATTTTCATTTTCACTATCACTTTCACTATCAGTTTCGTGTACTGTTTTTTCTTTTTGAACTTGTCTATATTCTTTATTGTATTGTATAGGACTGGCATATTCAAATCCATCGCCAAGCTTTATCCAATTCATAAAGCATCCTTCTATCATACTGTACCTATTTAGATAATTTTATATTATTTTTTAATATATAATTAATTTTCATGCATCAATTTTTATGTAATTAAAAATATATTAATTATATGAAATATAAATAGCATTACTGTAATCTAGATGAGGCATGATGAAGTACAACTGGTTCTTCCTGTGGCGAATCATTAGTTGAAGATGTTGCTACATGATTTTGAGCATTATCTTCTTTGTTATTTGACGATAAAGGTTGATCTTCTGGGTTTTCAGGAGCATAACAATTAGCAACCATAATTGCTCTTATTGAAGAAGCATTTCCATTATAAAACCTACGAGTTATTTATTTTCAACATTTTTGTCATTTTTAAATTAACAATGATTGATGCTAATAAATAAAATATATTATAGTATGCATGCATACCTAAACAGCTGTGTCATGATGGGCACATATTCACTTGCTGATTCTTGATTAGCCTTATTTAGCCAGAGTACGCTTGTACTAACCAGGTGTGCAAGCCAATGTAAATTTCCACTTAAAAGGTAATGTTCACTATACCAAGTACCAAATATGTCATATGGCTTATTCGCTACTCTGCATTGAAGTTGAAAGCCAGCTGTAATGAAAGAAATAATAAGAAAATAATAGATACAAAGTACACTAAATTTTTAACGATAGAATCATACAGATTTTTTGAACTTTTTTAAATAGCATTGTTATTTGAACTTACGTGCTACTTTAAAGACAGCTATTTCTCCTGATGTACTATGTGGTGTACCAAAATGTACACCAGAGACAAGGAGTAAAGTATCATTAGAATTAAACTGCGAAAATTGAGTATATTTCCAGCTAAATTTTTTCATATCATTAAGATATATAATATTAACTGGATGTTTACTTTTCCATACCTATTAATCATTTTAACTTATACGTAAGAAGAAAACACACAGTAACAGTTTATAATATTTATAATGATTGTAAATAATATTATAAAAAAAAAATTCAAATGAACATACAAGAATAAATCCATCTTTTGAACACGTTGCAAACATTTTGCCATTGTGCGAAAAACTAACATGCAGTACTTGATGCGAATGTTGATTGAGTACTTCGGTTTCTATTAAAGGAGTATGATATGTTAAGCGCTTAAATTCTTCAAACCAGGAAGTCTTTCCTAAAACATGTATATTTGTTATAAATGGACTTTGTTAGGCAAAGTGTATCGTAATCATCGGATTTATTTTATCATGTATGATAATATATAAATAAAAATTACTTAAGTATTATAATTATCGAACAAATATTAAACGTAACTTACCTGGCATTATACCGATATCAGAATCTATTTTAAAGGTCTGATAAAATAAGTCTCTCCAAAGAAATTCATCTCTGTATACTTTGTTCCATGTTCTACATACTTCTCCTGCTGTTACCAATTCTCTTGGTGTTAAGTATTGAAAAATAGTGAGAAGTATGGAATCTGGCATGTAATACCAATTATCATTTCTTTCTGATATTTGACTTGAATCTTCATTTGTACTAGTTTCTTCGTCGAGACTTTCGACACTATTTCTTCCATTATCTATAATATTTTCATCCACATCCATTCCTAAATGCAGTTCCTTATTTACTGGAACAGCTGATATCTGTCAGTAGTTGTCACTCACACTATTCCACTTATAATGTCAGACAAGGAAATGCAGGTACGTGCGCAGTAACGATTTATACCAATTGGTTGAAATTTAAGCGGTAAATTTAAAACATTTACAAAATTAAATCAATCGACATGTAATAGATTTTAATTATATTTGTTAAAATCCTAATGT